CAAGTCCTTCAATATAGTAACACATCTGCTTTGAATTTGAGTATTTCAGATTGAGACATCCTGGAAAGAAAAATAATTTCCTCCAAATTATTCAGCATAAGCATATGTTTCTTCCATTTGGAAAGCAAGTGTAACATAAATCAGAGAACAACATGCCTACATTTGTTACCTGCAGCTATATTAGTTGAAATTTAGCAAAGGATAGTTCATGCCAGTTGATGTCAGCAATTAATGTTTTACGATAACTATATTAATTTTGTTTAATGAATCATTACTCGTAAGTATAGATGCAAGTCCTTGTTCTAAGAAATTACAGAAAAAATATTGCAGGATTGTCAAGGAATTTTTACTTTTCTGCGGAGAACATATCATTTTCCCATCAGCTGCACACAGGGTTTGAGAGCTCTATGGCAAAAAGTCTGCTATTGTGTTTTGTGGCTTCTTCAGGAATTTCTAGATAAAGCCACTTAACTAATTTCTATAAAACCCAAGAGAAAATCATGCCTAGAGGACTGCTCTTTAGCAATGATAATCACAACTTCAGAAGAACAAATGCATCCTAATTTTTTTTTTTTCGTTCCTCTTCTGTTCTGTGAAATCCTTCTGTACTCAGTTCTGTAGAACTGAGTCTTCTTACTTACTGATCCTGTTTACTCCAAAGCAAGAAATAAGTAAGTTTCCTAAACTTAGCAAATTTTCAATAGGGACAGATATTTGTGAATGCAAGGTAATGTTGATGTTCAGCCCTTGAAAACATATATTTTTTTGAAACCTGCTTTTAGATTGACATTCAGGTAGCTTTATGTTATGTCAGTCTTTTCTACTGATGGCAATTAATCAGCTATTAATAATATCTTGTAACCAGCTATCTTTCCATTTTGGCTTCTCTTGTTCCTTTGTTTATTTGGCAGTCAAGCAAGCCAAGCCAAACCAAACCTTTTTTAGCAAGTTCTATTCTAAATTTGCCTCTCAGAAATGAATTCAGATTTGTAATAACTACCTCCTTGTAGTCCCATATCCCAAAAGGATTTTGTTAAATGCAGACTTACCATAACCTCTGTTTGCCATAACTGACTCAGTTAGAGGTGTCCTAACTCCTATCTCTAACATAAGATAAATTTCTATCAGGCAGGAACAGAATTTACCTGGTTTACCACTGTCACAACAATGCCTTTGAAGTGCCTTTAAGTTGGTTAGTCTTTAATTAGGTTTGATGTTCAGATTATCTGTAGCTCATCAACTGCTAACACCATGCAAATACGTATCTTGCTGGCAGATTTTCACCTTTGCATGTACATGATTAAAATCTACTTCTTCCTGTAATATATGCCAGTGGAACAATTTGCAGTCCTATAAATGAGAGCACTCAATGAAGGCAGTGGATTGGTCTTAAAAAAGGAAAGGATGTCTAGCAAGCAGAATTGAGGAACAACACAAGACAAATAAAGGATCCTTAAATACAATGTGCTGAGTTTGTGGGGACTTAGGATAGTGAAGGAATAGACTGGTGTTTACAGCTAAGTTGCCCTAGAATGTTGGCTGTCATATCCCCATCTTCCCTAGTCAGCTGCACAGTGTTTGATCACATGGCCCTAGAGCCAGTGACTTCCACTGTTCAGTCAAGCAAGAATGTATCATTATAGAAAAAAAGTTTTTCCTCCAGATCAGCTATAATGACATGTAATTACAGATCATCACTGCATACATTTTGTCCTGTTACAAGTAAGTCTTATATGGCTCAGAGCTTTAATTTTATTATTTTAAAACTGCTGCTACAATAGCACTGTGAAATAAAATAAGTAGGGCAAAATAACTGCATGTGGGTGTCAAACAAAAAGAAAAAAAAAAAAAAAAGAAGGCACCCAGAGGAAGAAGAGAAGCTTTTTGTACCTTCAACATAACATTTTCTGAGTTACAAACTAGTGTACATAAACTAGGACAAATCAGCTCATGCAGTTTCCAGAGAGGAAGAATTTGTAACAATATAAAACAATACAATAAATAAACACCGGTGGAACTGGAAGTCCCAACTTGTATATATTATTATTAGAATGCATGTATTAATTTGCCAAGTTAATAACAATTTATATTTTACAAACATGAACAAAACCAAACTACTAGATATAAGAAAAGTGCCTTCAAAAATGAACATTATCAAGAGAAAGGGAAATGCAAAGAATGCTTTTCCTGGTGCATTTTTTTTCTTGGAGATAAGTAAAATTGTAAAAATTTACTCCCATGAACATGCACAAAAAATTAAATCATCTTATGCAGCAAAGAACTGGCATGGCTTGCCAAGGAAAGGTAAGTAATTGAAAAATATAATATCCTGGTGAGAAATCCTAGCAGAAAATCTGAAAAAACCCCAGTTGCTGTATAATGTTACTTATTATAATTTGCATACATAAAACCAGAAATTAGTTCTGTCATACTGTGTTACCAGCTATGCCAAAGTCATATTACTATGCAAAAGTTAAGATACTATTTTAAATTATGAAAGCAGACTGCTTTATGTGTTTCATTCATCAGCTCCCTTTGGATTTAATGTGGAATCACCTGTGATCCCAAAATCATAGCAGTAGAGTTAAACCTATATTAACATCCTTGTATGTCAAGGCAAACAGCCTTTTAGTTTGTGTGCTAGTTTAGAGCACACTTGAAGATGGGGTAGGAGAAGGTTCACCACAGACATTTTCTAAGCAGTCCCTAACTGTTCCAGTCTTCAGGTCATGCTGTCTTTATACCCTGTTTTGTAGCAGCCTAAGTTATTGTTACTCTGCTGATGGTTATTGCCTTACGACATTTTTATAAGTTGAAATTGCCCTCACTAAAGGAATAGAGGGATCCTAATAGAGATCAAGATGCCAGTGTTGTAGGCATTTGGAGCAGAATTCTAACTTGTTCAGATTCTCCCAGCCACCAGCAACCAGATAGGACTGTCACATGCCTCCCAAGAATAGAAGGTAATGTGATTATCTCTAACATTGCCCCTGCTATTCCAGGACTTTGAGGGGTTGTGGACAGGCTTCTATCTCCTTGTGAACTATGAGAACTATAGAGGGGTGTTCTTCAAAAGCCTGTTTCTGCTCACACAGATCTCAGCAGGAGTCCCTGAATTGATTTCAGAAGAAGCAAAATCAATCCCTGCTTTGAAAACTACAGTATTTTCCATAGCACAGCCTATCCTTAAAAATAAACCCACCAAGAATTTATCTGGTTCTCAACATAGACAGTTTTCATTTACTGTGTCACGGAGATGCTCTGGGGACAGTCCTTTGAGTGTCAGCTGCACCATAGGCTCAAGGAACAGCAGTGGCAGCTCAGAACTGAAGAATCGTGAAGTTTGTCCTCCTCTGGCTGCCAGTGCAAGCTGAAGAAGTTATCACCACACCTGCTTGTTACTGTCCTCTTGCTGGAGGTTTCTGTCCCTGCTGAGCTCTTCCTAAAGTGCTCCTAAGCTGTTTCAGTCTGGGTGATCTATGTCAGTGATAGCCTGCTATTTAAACTGTGTAAGCTGTCCTGCAGCCGTGTTGGGTTAGAACTGTTTCCATCCTCTGTTTAAAGCTGCTGTGAATTGCATTGCCTTGAAATGGCTGGATGTGTTGCTGTCAGGGGATAAAAAGCTGACCATTCCTACTGCACATTGCTGGCCTTGGATGTGTACCCTATATAGGTAAAAACATAACAACTGAAAAATTGTGTTATGAGGTTAGGAGTTACTGCATGTCTTTGGAAAACATTGTCCCTCATTCAAAGCATTTTTTCAAACTGGAAGACATGGCAGAAGATTTTAGGTGTTCTGTGGTGTCATTTATTGGACTACTTCATTACCATTCTGCCTTGTAGACTGGCAATTAGCTGACTCATATAATAATAAGATACACTTATGATCATCTGTGTTGTAGGTACTTGACAGTTTTATTACTAGTTTGAAGTTGCCATCGGGCCTGTTCTGTTATGCAATTAGGTTACTTACAGAGTATTGAAGCTGTCCTACTTTCTTACTGGTTTCATTCTGTGGAAGAACAACTCCCCTGCCCTGAACACCTGCCTTGTATTTAAGGATAGAGTCCTGCACCAAATCACATGTAGCTTTCCTGTTTCAAATTTCAGTAATTTCTGTTTACAGTCAAGGGAGCTCCTGGGTGGAGATTTTTTATATTTACAAGCTTTCTAATTAGGATAATGATTACACCCACTTTTAGATAACATTTATAGCCTGCTTCAAAGTATCTCATTAAAATCACTGACTAGATTTGAATTCTGAGCCTTCAACACCTCATTCAGATAACAGTTCCCAGGAATTAAGCATTACCTTTTCATATATCCTTACATGAGCTAATAAACAGTCTTGCAGATGTTATAGGAAAACACAGATTTTTTTTCACATGTGTTTATCTGTACATTCCATTTATGTCCTTCCTCAAGTATTTAATGGTAAATATGGGTTGCTCTTGTTGTGATGTCGTAAAAGATTATTGATGAATTAAATGCTCTGCTGAGGGCAGTGAGAGCTTGACCATTGACTTCAATGCAACTAGAATTTCACCTCTGAATTGTGAAATTAATAATGGGACCAAATAGGAAAAAAATTAAATCTGTGCCTAGGGTCCACAGTGATAACCAAACTGTATTTAGAAGGGAATAAATTAAATCCAGGTGATACTTCATGAGGGGTGTGATAGGTCAAGCTAGGCTCATGATTTTAAATAAAATCTGGCATGGTCAAAGAGAAATGTGATACATTTTTTATGGATGTAGTGAACATTTGTGTGCACACCTAGTACATACACAGTGTGTGTACACCTAGATCAATGAACAGATGCAGTTTACAAAGGTGTTATAAATATTCATTTGTCTTTCAGTTTGACATGGGTTAGCTTTACTGTGCATAATACGTTTCATCTGTAAAGTGTGGCTGATGCTTGCAGGGTTTCTTGATGATTTCTGATTAAATGTTTTGAGTAAAAAGTTTACCCTTCTCCATTGTTCTCTTTTAGAAATATTCTTTACAGACTAGATGAAAGGACAAGCCAGTTTTCAGTACTGCTAGAGGCACTGGAGCACTGCAAACTACATCAGTCAAATGAGACCATTCAAGCAGCCTTGTCAGAGGTGCTGAACACCATCAATTCAGCTCAGGCTTACTTCAAAGCAGGACTGGATGTGTTTGAGGCTACCTTAGCTGGAAAGAAATGAGAGGATTCTCTGCATTCTAAGATGCTTGTTTACAGCTTGCTAAACAAAAGTTCGACTTGGACCAGAATTTCTCTGAGGATGAAACCTTTCTCAACTTTTCTTTCAGTTGATGCTTAAAGGTACCACAATGCATGTTTTTATAAATATGAAACAGTCTTTTGAACTGTTGACAGCATATCTCAAATGTCTGTTTCTGAATGTATAAAACATAATGAGAGGGAATATCATTTAAGATATGATTTTTGGAAGGACATCTGCTGTATTTTTGTATGTAAAATATATTTTTATGAAGATTTCAATCTTGTAAAGTACCAAGCACATCCTGCAATATGCTGAAGACCTTGTTCTGAGTTGCCCCAGATGTATATGCAGGTGAGCTTTCCATGCCTACTCGGTCAGAAAAATGTGACTTAATTATACTCCTGTGTTTCTTCCTCAGCAAACTCATCTTCCTTACTCCTTTCAGAGTAAGTAGTTAAAGGATATGGCTTTTCCTTGGGTATCCAGCAGTGGAGTTAATCAAGAAATGCACAAAACACCCTTACCAGTGCAATTCAACATATTTACACCTGTGGAACAATAAATACCTCAGTTCTGAGAATACAGAAAAACTTTTATTATCCCATTTCTGTCTGAAAAAGAGTTGTTTTCTCTAGTAGTTGTTGGAGATAAGTTTTTTTTGTGATTATTTTAAATTATTTGAAAGGTTTAAATCAGTAGTCACATTTGTACAAGAATAACTTTGAATCTTTATGCTAAGTTGAAGAACTGCCTAGTCTTCTAAGGCTACAGGCCTTACAAGCTTATACATTGTCAAAACAGCTCACTTCAAGGTCTCCTTAAATTTTCAGGAAGCAGTAAAAGAAAAAAAGACCTCAAAGTTCTGGGAACATTTTTGGGATTCCACCACTATTCCAGGCTAGATCATTCTATCAGTAGTGCCTGGCTTATAGGACCTGGATTGTTGTAAAAAAGCACAAGCAAAACATATTTTTTTTCCCTACTGCAGAAGCAGGAATTCACCTCTGAAGGTACAAGCTGGTAAAGCACAATGTGGGGCTAAAAATCAAATCTACTTTGCATTGGTGGAAGCCCTCTACAAAGGCTGTAATCTCACCATCACCTTGTTGGCCTGAAGTAATGTGTGAATGAAAGGATCAGGAGATTCAGTGTCCTGGCCTCTAAGGGAGTAATATACTAGAGAACTGCAGGTCTTCATAAGATAAACCTTTCAAATCGTTAAGTCCTGTTTGGTTTAGAGTTTTACAATCTCAGATGATGCTGGTGTTAGAGCTTAAAAAATTATTTTAATACAAATACTTAGAATTTGAATATAATTAATTCGACTGAAATGTTAAAAGCATTGTTACCCAGTTTGCCATGGAAACATTACAGAAACATTTTGAGTCGCAATAACAATAAGAAAAGTATCTGTATTAATGTTAAAAAAATTGCCTTCAGGAAAATGTTGAAGTGTACAAGTTGGTGAAAAGGGTGACAGTTCATGAAACAGTACAAGACTTTTTGAAGTGCTGTTTCACATAGCAAGAAATGAGAATTGTTTGCAGATCTGGGTTTCTATTTCTAAACGTCCTCGGCTAATGGGCCTTTAGTAGCAGTGCCCCAGAACCAGGTACATGCAGCTATGCTTTTGTTACATTTCTTTGCAAGTTATTCTCATAACATGGGCAAAAGCATCCCAGGTCTGAGCAGAGGTGGGGCTGTGCAGTTGTACAGCTACAACTGAAGTGGGAATATGTTCAGTATCAGTCAGCGTGATTGCATGAATTTAGTATATATTATCTCTTACCTTCACTTGGCATCTGATAAGGAAGCATATCTAATTATTCTTTTGCTAATGCTGATGCCAGTTCTTTTTACTGCAAAAGGAATTTGACTTCTGAGGAGTAGTATTTTTTTACAATGTTTGTTCATCCCCTTGTTTCCATAGTTTTTTATTATTGTAATATTTAAATGGTTGGAATAGCCACGTTTGAGTTGTATGTTTATTTTGTGATAGTATTTGGGGATGTACTGTGCTCAGTACATTTGAATTGTGTTTTCTAATAGGGACCACTCTTCCAACAGTTCACTTAGTAAAATCTTTTGTTTAGGGTGCTTACTTGCTGTGGAGCCAGTCTGTGATCTTAAAAGACAGAGGGTCAGGTACCATTAACAGACCAAAAATAGAGAGGAACACTTTCTTTAACTCTGCCAGGTGAATTTTAGAACTGCTTCTTCAGTCTTAGTATTTATGTTCTGCCAGAACCACCTCTAATGTAACCAAAGTGTACTCAAGCAAAATGGATGAAATCTGTTGGGAAGAGTATACAAGTATGATTTGTTAACCACATAATTCCTCAATAAAACATTTGTTTTTTCATTGATGTCCTTATGTAACCACTTTTAAAATACCAGGCTTGGAAGTACTCTACCATAAATGCTTGTCTGTTCAAGAGACAATCGTATATTCTTGTTGGTGACTTCAGTGTATTGAATGTCATCTCCCACTTCTAGCTATCTAGGCTTTTTCAAATGTTCAGATCTGACATATGAGTGGGTGCTCAGTGATAATATTTGCACCATTGTAGCTTTGGAAAAGGCACTTTTTGAGCCATATTCTTCCATGGATTTTTAAATCCTATCTATTGACTTCAAAAAATGTATAGGAAGGTAAGGTCGTAAATACCTGGTGTGTTTCTAACGGAATTTTTGCCCAGCCAGCTTTGGAACATCAGCTAGCACAAGGCATTAGTAAGTCATAGTAGTTTATCCAGATTGAATTCATTTCTATGTTGTATTGAAATAAACAGTGCCCTTAACAGCAGAAGTATATTTTCAAATTGCCTGAATAATACTAAAAATTTGTTACCTTTTCAGAACCATGGAGTGCCAGAGACAGATAACAAATGCATTGATTGCTAAGTAATCTAGAGTCATGCTCACAGTGACCAGAACATCCGTTCAGTTTTACAATATTTGTATATTGAGACAGTTGATAATAAAATGCTAATAAGATTTTATTAGTTCATATTTTAAAGACTCTGTAAAGAAGCTAAAGTACAGTCAACTCACATGAATACTAAGTACATGGGAGCTGGATTTGGAGTATTAACCTTTAAACAGGCAGTGAATTGCTTTTATCATCCAAGAAAAACAAGGCTATTTTGATATACAGTATCTGTGCAAATACACAAGTATGCAAATGCCCTGTATCTTCAAAGTGTTGTATAGATACAAATTTACTTGCAGTGCTATGGTACATCTGCATAAGCTTAGATGTAAATAATAGCTTAATGAGAAAATTGGCAAACAGTTTGCACTGCTTCACTTACCTTTTAGGAAAGTATTTCAGCCTGGTGGTGTAAAAGAGGTCATGTCATCTGGCCCCAGTTCTTGCAGCAGTAGGTGAGGAAAGTTTAAATCTCTCAGTTATCGCAGAATGGATCTCTGGAAGTCATCTAGTCCAGGGTCACATAGACCAAATTGCCCAGGAAGGACTATATTTGGATTTGAAGTATTTAAAGTTGAATTACTGAAAGTTTGAATTACTTAAAATTGGTTTAGTTGGAAACCTTGAAAAGATAACCATAGTTTCATTCAGTGAAAACTGCTGGCCAAGGTTTGTAAGATTTCACAGTTAATATGTTTAAAAGTTTGTGTAAGGAGATTTGTCTGTCAAGCCATGGAGTTTATTTTTAAGTTGTAGAGCCTAATGTCTCTGTCGTTTGAGGTCTCTTTGTATGGTCCCTGGTTTTCAGTCATAGGATTTCTATCTAAATAAAGAAAGCCATTGAGAACAAAAGATGGATTAGAAAATGCAGGGAGGAAAAATGTCCAGCATATGGGTAGCTATGTGCTTCTAATATGTCTACTTTCACCAAACTTTGGGAGCTCAGTGCAGTTCTGTGGCTTGTGTTGTGCAGAGTCAGGCAAGATAATTGTATGGGTCACTCTGGCTTTAAAAGCTATTAAATACTATAAACACAGTTATGTCTGGGCCTGTATTCTCAAGGTAGCAGTTGAGGTTTTCCCCAAAAGCCTGATGTCACAAGCTATTATCTGTGTTGCTCAGAAATTGGCACATCTGATACACATTACAGTTGCGGTCTCAGGAAACAAGCACACTGTTTGTCAGGACAACTTTTTTCTC